ATCCACAAAGTTGGCCAAAACTTGTTACTTAATAACAGTCCATGGTTTATATTCTAAATCAAACTAATTTCAAGTATCTATTTAGCCAATCGACCCGATAACTCGGGTTTATGAAGGACGTTCCTCAGAGAAAAGGTCGTCACAATAGCTATTGGATGGCATTGAAAGTAGGGCCTAAGCTTTCGAGAGACAACTACAAGAGCTAGAGACAACTTTTCCAAGTGCGGGTATCGTATTTCCCTACCTGAAAGAACCTTACTAATATAATACATAGAGAATTGTGTACCTTCTTCCTCCCGAACCAGAATTGCAACCTCTGATACCGCTAAATAAATTGATAATTTCTCTCCCTCCTTCAATTTTGACATCAAAAGAGAGCTAAACAGATACTTCTTTAGCTCTTTCAATTCTTGTTGGAATTCCGGAGTCCACGTAAAATCATTTTTCTTCTTTGATAGAGAAAAGAAATGGTGAAATTTCTCTGATGACCTCGATACGAATTTGCTAGGGGCTGCCAATCTGCCGGTTAGCCTTTGTACCTCCTTTAGACTTTTCACTTGATCGGGGATATCTTCTATAAACTAAATCTTTTCGGGATTTTGCTTTAATCCTCTTTTGAGAAATCAAGAATCCAAGGAATTTTCTGGATCTAACTCCAAAAGCACACTTCTTTGGATCATGTTGTGTTTTCTCAAGATGTCAAATGTTTCTTAGAGATGAATCAAATTATTCCCCGCACTAACACACTTAACCAACATGTCGTCAATGTATACTTTCATAGTTCTTCCATTTGATGCTCGAATATCTTATTAACGAGCCTCTAATAAGTGGCTCCGATATTTTTAAGCCCAAAAGGTATCATATTATAGAAATATGTGCCAAGTTTTGTGATGAAGAGGTTTTTTCTTAATCTTCCGGGTGCATCTTAATTTGATTGTACCCATGTATGCGTCAAGAAACCTCATCAACTCATGACCAACCATATTATCGATCATTTGGTCGATGTTTGACAATGGAAAATAATTCTTAGGGCAAGCCTTATTTAGATCTTTATAATATATACACATTCTAAATTTATTATTCTTTTTAGGTACAACTACTACGTTATCTAACCAATTGAGATAACTTACTTCACGTATAGAACCTATGTTTAACAGCCTGGTTACCTCTTATTTTACAAACCTATTTCTGATCTCAGCTATCAGCCGCTTCTTTTGCTTTACCGGAGAGAAATTAGGATCCAAATTTAACTAGTGGACAGTCACTTCTAGTGGAATACCTATCATATCTGAATGAGACAATGCAAAACAATCAAAGTTAGATTTTAAAAATTCAATAGTTTTAAGCCTGAGTTTGGGGCTCAACCCCGTTCCCAATTAAACCTTTTTATCGGGGAATTATGTGAACAAAATAAAATTTTCAAGTTCCTCTGCGGTTGAATTTATTGCATACATTTCTTTTCGATACCTGGAAGGATCTATGCACCTGATAAAATCTGGTGTCTCCTCCTTTCCTTCGCCTTCAACCAGGATCGGAAGGAAGTAGATATCGGTTTCTGTAGTTGTTATTTGCTGGTTCCCTCCATCTTGCTACTGGATAAGGTGACTGCATTTATTTCTCTAGTAGCAGGTTGATCACCTATAATTTGTTTGATCCCATCCGATGTAGGGCACTTCAGCAACTAGTAAGTTGATGGTACATCCTTCATTTCATAAATTCATGGTCTACCAAGGATCACGTTGTAGCCCATATCTTCATCCACCACCTCGAACAAAGTATTTTTTGTTACCCCTTCGGCATGGGTAGGCAATAAGATCTTTCCCTCGGGTCGTTACTCTCATTAGGTTGAATTCAGCCAAAAGCTTTGTTGCCGGAACTATGTATTTGGTTAACTTTGCTTGTTCCAAGACCTTCAATTGGATGATATTGGTTGAACTACCTGGATCAACCAAAACACATTTAATTTTAAAGTCTAAAATATTTAAAGATATTACCAGAGCGTCATTGTGCGGTAAAATAAGGTCGTCAACATCTTCCTCCGTGAAAGTAATTTCATAATCTTCTTATGCTTCTCAGATTCTCTAGCCATGAGTTACTAATATTTTTGTCTTCTTCGCTACCAAAAACATCACCCCATTTATTACAACCCTACCAAAATCATGTTTATTGTTAAACGAGCTGATCTTGCGACTGGATGTGCCAGTTCTGTTGCATCTCGATTCCTCCCGTAATTATTCTTAGTCAGGTCAGTCAAAAATTCTCTAAGGTGGCCATTTTTCAATAACATCGCTACCTCTTCACGAATATGCTGGCAGTCCCCAATCATATGGTCATGCGTTCCGTGGAATTCACATCACAAACTAGGATCCCTTTGATTGGGATCTGATCGAATTGGTTATGAAAATCTTGCCTCCCTGATATTTCTCATAGCTTAAAATAATTTTATCAAACTGATGTTGAAATTATAATCTGATAATCGGGGATATCCTGAATCCCGGGACCCCGATGGCCCTTTATCCTACAAAGCTCTACTACTCTGTCAATGATCCGTCCTTCTATCCGGTCCGAAACTTTCCGAAGGTTGAAAACCTTTAGTTCCACGTCCATCAGATCTCTCATTTGATATATTAGGATGGACACGATTTAGGGATGATCTCCCGTCTGCATCAAAATTATTTTTGAACGTTTCCTGATTCCTATCACGGTTATGACCCTTGGATGACACCGACGAACTCAATTGATTTCAGTTCTGATTTTTGATTCATAATGATTATAGATATATGCCCATGTGGTTGCCTGAAATTCCAATAGGCTCTCCTTCAATTTCCTCGAGGTATCCGAGCTTAAAGGATTGAGTCATTTGGTGAACGCCTCGGCTGCCCATTCATCGGGTACTGTCGTCAATATCAACTTCTCTTTTTGGAACCATCTCACGAACTCTCGAAAGAATCTACAAGCATTTCAAAAGAATCAGTTGAATATTCAGATAAAAGATAATACCACACTAAAAGCTCCCTTTGTAAGGGTTTCGCCAAATTTCTTTAGCAAAACTGATTAGATCTCATGCGGAGTCAAATCGTTTCCCTTTACAGCCATAGTGTAACTCGTGATGTGCTCCTGTGGATCCAATGTTTCATCATATTTTGGTATATTTGGCATCTTAAATCTCTTTGGGATCAACTCCGAGGCTGCACTTAGTTTGAATGGTAGCTGAGTATATTTCCTTGAATCCAGAACCTTTAATATCGGAGGTGCCCCTGGAATTAAATCCATCCGAGCATGAAATTCTTTAGCATTTTGATCGATCCGTCATTCATATCCCTCATTAACCTCATGGGCTCGGTTTTAAAAGGATCATTTGTGTTATTATCATTCTCGGATCCATTGCCTACACCATCTACTTGATTATCATTAAATCCAAACTCCTCTCTCGACTCGATGTTACCGGCTCTGTGTGCTTGATTTGCGGGAACGTTAGGAGGGCCTCGAACTCCACCATAGGAATTATTAGAGGCAACTGAAAGTGCTTGATGGAGTTCAGTCATTTTCTGGTCCTGTCTTGAGAGATGATTCATGATTTCCCTTTGTTGCGCTCTCAAAACTTTCTTCGTTTCAACAACAGGTTCATCATCCATATCATCAGTGGTATGACTCCTAACACGCTGAGGATTTCGTTCTTCCTGAACTAGAGTTGTCTCATCTCCGCCGTTGCGAGTTTCACTGGTTGAATCATCACAAAAAATATCTTCACACTCATTGTTTGTCCTAACATTGAATGAGTTGTTAACATTATTAGTTGCCATATCTGCTTCTACTTTACAAAAGAAAATTGTCAAAATACGTTAGTAACAGATAAGTGGATTAAAGTAATACCACAATTGTCTATGCCCCACGGTTAGCGACAAACTATTTACCTGTAAAATGGTACAGTTAAATTTGTAACGTGGTTTGTAGAAATGAATAAATTGATCCAAGAATACTATAAAATAACTAAGAACATAAATTAATTAAGAATACTTGAAGAAAATACAAGTCTGGCGTGAGGTGAGCTTTTCTGAAAGCAAGAATAAGAACAAAGTATTTAGCAAAAAGATATTTATAGAAAGTAAGAATAAGTTTAGCCTTTTCTTGTGCCACTATTTCGTGCCTACAATAATAAATTCTTCTATTTATAGCTAAATTCAGGGAGACAAGATCCCAAAATGAGTATATATACAAAGATTCTTTGTAACGGCCGCTCCTTGAATGCTGCTTTCTTCAACAGATACATCACTTTCAAACTTTTGTCACGGGTTACAATGTCTTCGGAATTCTCACAATACCGGTCACATGTTTGTAACCGGTACCAGCTATTGCTGACTCATACCTTACATGTCTTTACTGTCATGTGTCAACTCAACGAACATCCCCTGTCATTCATTAATTTTACGCCATACAAAGGCGAAGTGCTTTCATAACCTCGACAAGACAACACAAATGCCATGATTATATAACCTGGTATTTCAAGAATTATATATGTTAGAAAACTTGAAATCACAATATAAACATATAGTACTAGCGCTTGGGGCTTGAAAAACCTTGAGAAACAGTTTAGTGATTTCTGTCAAGTAGGTGTAAGAGTGCTAAATGACACCAGACATGGATCCTTATAAAGGTTTAAGATACTTTTGTCTCAAATGGTTCTAGTTCCTAATCAATTCTCGGAATTGGACAACAGTTCTGTCAATTATACCCCTTTTCACCTTGTATTTTCTCAGGGTTAAATAGTCACGCCTCAGAAAATTATAGTGTATTTGCAAGGCCAACCTTATTTTTTTTAATTTTTTTTTTTGGTAGATGTAATAGATGCAAAATTCATTGACTTCAAAATGTTTCCATCTTTATATTTTCAATGCCCAAATTGTTTGGGATTGAGACATATAATGGTAGTAGTATATATATCAATAGATGTTATGTTAGGTGGTTTGGTTTGTAATTGCCTTTAAATACCAGGTCAGCTAACCCCATCATTAGGACTTCTAACTCCTCTTTTTCTCCCTCTACAGAGATATACACGAAAGCCATATATATATTTCTTCCAAGCATCTAAAATATATCATTAATTCACGAATACCTGTTTAATTGTTTGAAAATGAGATGCAAGCCAGCAGTAGACAAACCAAAGCATAAGCACAAGAAGGGACTTTGGTCTCCAGATGAAGACCAGAAGCTCAAAGACTACATTATTAAGTATGGTCATGTCTGTTGGAGCTCCGTCCCCATCAATGCTGGTAAGTAGTTTGCTTAATATAAATTGTGTGTTACCAGTTGAATTGTGTGACCATCTTATCAAAAACTTATAAGTTATTGGAGATGACACACTTTTATTCGTTTAGTTATGTCCTCGACACGTCCCCACGTAAGGGCCTAATAATTTTTCATGGGTCAAACATGTGAAGATTTGGGTGGTAATCGTGATACTTAAGTCCTGGACTTTCTGTCTGCTCTAATATCATGAGCTTTCGGATGAGATGGTCACAAAATTCATTAACGTGTACAATATTTGTTTCTTTATTTCTTGCATAACTTAACTTGTCGACAACATTTGAGCTTACTAGTTCAAGCATGTACAAGTAAAATAGTTCAGATATATATCCAACAGTACTATAAGTTAAACTTGGGCTAGATCAATGAATGCTAAGTTAGATTTATTGAGATTTTTAAACTTCAGCGAAATAAAAATTCCTAGTTTTAGAGCTTGAATATTTGTAACCTACTGCACTTATTCCACTGTTACTAGCCTTTACTTACTGTTGTCTTTTGACGAATGGATTTAATCAACCAGTAAACTAATTAAATTTCCCGGATACCATGCATATTGACGTGCGAAAAGAAATAAAAATGTTTCTTGATTTTGAATTGAGCTTTGAAAGTCTCTGTCTTCAAATAAAAAACAGAAAATACATTGCATTTTGGCAGAGGTATGTTTCATTTATGCTGCACTAGTTGGTAATAGTTTTTGTTGGGAACAAGTAGGGTGGCAGCAATAAGTCAACAACCAATTTAATTTTCTCTTATAACAGAAAGGGATTGATTAGTTATGTTGTGCTAAATCAGCACAAAGATATTTTTAACATGATGTGATATTATTTTATTCGAGCCAAACCTGCACGGTTTTTCCCCAAAAGGCATCATAATATTAAGAGTATCTCTACATCTCATATGTAGCTTTCCAATCTTTTGAACTACTGATATGAAACTTCGCTCACACACCCAATAAGTCAAGACTAATTCTAACCTGCATTATATGAGTTGACATATGTGGTATTCATTTTTAATATTATTGTTTTACAGGCTTAAAAAGGAACGGAAAGAGTTGCAGATTGAGGTGGATTAATTATTTAAGGCCAGGCCTAAAACGAGGGGCATTTAGCATAGAAGAGGAGGAAACTATCCTGACCCTTCATGGCATGATAGGCAACAAGTAAGAGACCATAATTTCCTTTACTCTTCTTGAATATGAAGCTGTTAGCAGCCTTGACTACCCTCAATTTTATTAAATACAATGAAATACAAGTACTGCTAAATCATTCTTGAAAGTTGGCTTTAAAATGTACATAAAACACACATAGTTGGTAGGGAATAGATGAAAACCGATATGTAGGGTAGAGGCGGAGCCAGAATTTCAACTTTATGCGTTCTGGATTTTAGAATGATGATTTCAAGTACTAATAAATGAGTTCTAAATTTAATATCCGCACATATTTAATGAACTTTTTAACACAAATACACAGCTTGAGCAAAAACTATTGGCTTCGCCGAACCCATATTCAGGCTTCTAGCCCGCTTCTGCATAGAGAAGCTTTTTTGTAAATGAGATTAATTTTTATATATTGACAGTGTAAAAAGGTTTTTGACCATCCCAAAAAAGCCTTAGGTGGATCAAGTTTAACCAGCTCAAAAGACAGATTATGGCAGAGTAAGGGATTAGGAAAGGAAATTCTTGTTCACTAGACTAGCTAATAAACTTTTGGATTTTAATTTTACCTTAATTAATTAAGAACATATGGTCGTTATTCATTATATTGAGTATCTAACAACTAACAAAGTTCGTTATAAACAGGTGGTCTCGGATAGCACACCATTTGCCTGGACGGACTGATAATGAGATTAAGAACCATTGGCACTCGTATCTAAAGAAGAGAGTGGACAAAATAGCAGAAAGTGAAGGCCAGAGCCAAAATATAGATGGAGTATCTTCTTCTTCTTCTTCTTCTTCTTCTTCACTGAAGTTGGCTTCGCGAAACTCTAGTTTGAACTCATTTGTACAAACAGAAGGATCATTGGCAGATACAGATCAAGATGTTTCACCGGTGGATTTCTTAAATGAACCTCGTAAAAGCAAGTTTCGTAAAGTATTATTCGCGGAGTGGTTTTCGTTAGATCAATTTAATGGCCAGGATTTCCAGAATTCAGATCTTTCCAAGAATAACTTGTGCTACAATAGTTCAGAGTTCCAAGATGCTTTCATGATGAGTAAAGGTGCCTATGAGAATGACATAAATATTCAAGGGATTAACAATGAAACAGTAGATAATGATATGTATCAAGCACAACTCAAGTTTGAGGATCAGTTTTCTACAAATGGATTTGAAGAATTGTTATCTGGTGATTTCAACATAAACGGTGATATCATGTACATATTATGAGTTCCTTTAGAGAGTAATTTCTTTGTAAGTAGTTTTAAAATTAATAAACCAGGACCATCAGTGCTTTAAGGTCATGTGTTTCTTCATAGTGATAACAGCCCGAGTTAAGCACCAATTTACCCTTATTTGTTAGCATAATACTAAATCCTTTAATGATTTGGCTTCAGAAAATTAGAATGCTATTAAGTTGGTGCATAGAAAAACAGTAGCAACAACAAGAGGGATTGAATGAACTGAGCAGAATTATATTGCTGGAGCTACAGACTCAAGATTTTTATATTTTTAAGATATATTGTCCCTCATTGGCTAAGATATATTCTATCAAAAGGGTAAAAAGTAAGAGGCTTCATAGAAACTTCCTCTCAACCAGAACAAATTAAGATACATTCCCTTCCTTCTCATTTCCTAGTTTATAAAATGTTGCCACTTAAGCTTTTGGTTACTTATAAATGCTCAACTCTCTGAAATGTTGTCCTTGCTCTCTTTCTTTTTTTTCATTGATCAAGCATTAAAAGTTTTCAGATGGATTGTCAGAGCCTCCCAATTACGAGAAATAGACAATGAACAAAAAAAATCCCAAACCCTCCGCAACATCACAAATCAGCCTTCTTACCAAAAGAGGCTACTTTTGGAGTTGGCCATATTGCTAACATGGAAGGTTTCTTTCAAGTTTTTTCAATACAGTTTGACAGATAATTATCTCCAGGAGCATAATCTCACAATGTTGTTTCTAATGCAAAGAAATTCCAAGTCCGCACACTTCACTATACAATGTTTACGACCAATAATGTATATCAAACTGATATTTTGCCACTTCAGAAACAACCAAGGAGAGTTTTCTTTGGAGAAGTTTCAGTGGCACGGTGTTTTGCTGCTGTCTCCTCTGCCATAAGAAGATCTTCTCCACGTTTAGCTTCAATTATCGCTCTCTTCTCTTCTGCTGACTTGTGGAGTAGAGCAATCTTGTTTTTCATTCTCTCAATGTACTCTGCCTTCTTTTTCAACAATTTCTCCTGCTCGCCCACAACATGTGTAAGGTTAAAACAAGATGAGAAAAGACAGTACAAGTTTCACTTTTTTTACTCAATTTGTATGGTTATCTAGACAGAACGTAATTTCAGAAGCTAAAATACAACAACAGATATGGTTATTGAAGAAGTTCTAAGATGAGTTCACATGACTAGGATATGGTTATTGAAGCATCAACACATAAGGCTTGTATTAGCTAATACCAAACAGAACCATCAATTAAAATGGGAACTGAACCCCTACACATGATTAGTATACCAGAACTATATGTTGTTGAGAATCCTGAAAAATATATCCTGGAAATTTTACTCAAGTATCTAGCATTACTTTTCACTGAAGAACAGGATATCGGCAGATGTTAGACACTAAAAGAATATATTGAACTATGACAAGCAAACGAAACAATTTTGTGGTATTAAGAGATCTCTTTCGGACTTGTAATAATAAAATCACCAGACGATGCAATCAGTGTAACTCGTTAGACTATGGGCACATAGCAAAATAGAAGAATGACTTGTCACCTCAATCTTTTTGAGCTCTGCCTCCAAGCTTGCTTTCTTGCTGTTCTCCCATGCAAGGATTTCAGATTGCTTTCTCTGAGCTCTGTCAACAAAGTGGGGGAAAAAATTCAGTGTTTTGGGAAATTCATAAACACAGTTTATAACACTTCCTGAAGCATATACATGCCAAATTTTACTCATTACTGAATATAAAAACTACAAATAACAAAGCAGGTGCATGCAACTCTCAAACTAGTTCTGGGAATAGATAACAGTGTTTTGCAAATATTGCAACATATAAATAGGAAACAGATAATTCAACTGGTTCGCAGTTCACATATCACAAAAAAAAAAAAAAAAAAAAAATTATAGCAAATGGATTGAGCAAGATAGGTAATGAAGCATATAAGATGCCAAGATCATCTTAATGGTAATTCAAACTCCCTTGTATCATTTACACATAAATGAATGGATCCTAGTTTCACTCCCTTCTTATCCATCAAGAACTAAATAGCAAAGCCCCAAAAAACATCAATATTTGTATGTCCAAATAACATAAACAAGTGAAACAACTGCCATACAATTGATAATCTCACTGCAAAGAAGAAATAGCTGATACAATGGATTCAAGACAAGTAATTTATAACACCGTAATGCAAAAAAATCTGCTAATTGAGGCATGTCAAGTTCCAACCAAGTGTAGATTTAGTTATAGCACCGCAGCATGTATGAGAAAGTGCAGTGTCAGAACGTACTTGTTTTCAGCTTTTGATTTCTCACTTTCTTCCCATGCTTTGATTAGGGACAACCTCTTCTCTGTCGTAAATCGTGCAAGAGTTGCATCTGAAGATTATATATACAAATTAGGTTTGATTGAGCTGTAGATTGATTTGAGATGGAAAACAATAAAACAATCCTAAGTACCTCTGTCAACAGATCCTCTTTTCTCAACAGGTACTAGTGCTTCTGCCAAGGACAAAACATTCACATACAAGTTAGAGAAAGACTTCAATGAACTATAGATCGCTGGAGAAGTGAAATTAGTCACTATTCGACAAAATACACAAATGTATAATACTAGCTCCAAAAGAAACAGATAATGAACTCCAATAATATAGAGGTGAGAAACAGAAGTGAAATTAGTCACCATTTAGGCTATTTCTTTAACGTTTGACAAAAAGTGAAGGAAAGGGAGGAAGAATAACAAATGAGTCATCTGAAATGAAGTTATGCTGGTCATTAAAATAGCCAATAGATACACCATAGATTGGTAAAATTGTCAAATCTTTTGATATGTAGTCTCTCCAATCACAAGAAGATACATACATTCCCCAATAGATTACGGAGTACTTACATATTTTTCTTTTTAGTTTGTTCCACAAAGAATGACACATTAAAAATTCATACACGATATAAGTTTAAACTTCCAATTTTTACTCTATGTGGCTATGGATATTTTGGACCACAAGTTTCAAATGCTTTATCTCTTTCTTAAATTTTTTGCTCAATCAACATAAATTGGGACGAAGGGAGCAGTAGTTATTATCTGGTGACTTTTGAAAGAAAGATAACTTTTCCCTTCAGAATCAGAAACCCTGTGAGAATTCGAACAAAATGTTACACTTATGAAAGAAAACAAAACTCCTAACAGAATTGTTTTCGAATCAAAAGAAAGATTTGTACGGAGCGAATACAGATCACCAACCACTGACTACTCCTTTCCATATTCTACTTTTGAACTTTTTTTCAGGTCAAACATGAAATTGAAGTGAAAATTGCAAACAATAAACACATAAGAAGTACGTGGGCAGTAGGGAGAGATTATATCTATGTACGTACTAGTTTCGACGATGGCTAGAGCTTTTGAGTCATCATCGGGTTTGTCTTTTTCTTCTTCTTCAGAAGGAGGAGGAGGAGCTAATGGAACGATGGCTTTATCCTCGGCCACATCCTTAGCTGCTTCTTCTGCCATAATTAGTGAAAATTATAGGATCAGAAGATTGAATGAGAGATCGAGTGAGGTAGAAGATATTGGTAGTTGAAATAACTGTCGCCTCAGAAATCAGAATGAAGAGAAGAGGCTTGAGTGGGTTGGCTTAGCTGGAGTATGATTAATGTTACGGACCCCATTAGTGAGCTGTCATGAGCCATTGCCCTACCCTCTCACAAACTTGCAATCATGATTGTTTACAGTCGTTGGCCTAACTAAAACGACAGAATGTCATTAATCAACTTTAAACATTATTGCTCCTTCCTCATACCTTTGCTAAATAATGTGGTCCTCAGTGGGGAAAAACTTTGTATATTATATTTTTATTAAAATTTATATTTTAATCCATTTTTAGTACCTTAAATTAGGGAATTCAGTTACATTCTTTTCCGTTCTTCTCCTCTTATCTTTCCCTATTCTCTGTCGTCTCTCTCCATATAATTCATTATTAGTACATAATTAGGGGATTCAGTTACACCCTTTTTCTTTTTTTTTCTCCTCTCCTCTTTCCCTATTCTCTTCTACCTACAAATTAAAAATAAAATTTCGTACAAATTTGATACATCTACAACAACATATAAACTTAAAATAAATTTTATACAACTTATTTATATGTTATCTGCTACTTTCATACATTATTTTTACCCAATTAAATACAACTACAACATCATACAACTTAAATCTAATTTTCATACAAATTTTATATAAATATATCTTTTGTATATGATTTGTATATATTTTGTATGTGGTGTGTTCTTTTTCCAATCTAAAATTCCAATCAAAACTTCATTTCTTAATACAATTATGATACATATCAATAACTTTATGTAAAAAGGTAGTATTTATAACTTAAATACAAATTTCTTACAATGGTTCATACATTATACAACTATATATTTTTCAACTTTCTGTAATGACCCGACCAGTTATTTTATATATTTGAGCCTTATTTTCCTTATTGAAGCTTTTCATATGTGTATTTGTGATTTTATGACTTGGGCGGATGGTTAGTTTCATTTCATGGAGGTTTTCGATTGATTTGGAACAATTGGTTCTTAATTTGGAAGCTTAAGTTGGAAATGTTAACCGAGATTCGACTTTTGTGAAAACGACCCGGAACGATATTTTAATGGTTCGAGTAGCTTCTTATGGTAATTTTGGACTTAGAAGTATGCTCGAAATTGGATTCAGAGATTCTTAGGTTGAGTTGGCTCTTTTTGCCGAAAGTTGGCAATTTGAAGGTTTAGAAATTTCCTAACTTTGACCATAGGTTAACTTTATGGCTATCGGGTTCAAATCTTGATTTTGGGACTTGTAATAAGTCCCTTTTGTCATTTGAAATTTGTATGTAAATTTTGGTATCATTCCGAGTTGGTTTGGTAGGAATCGGACACTTGGTTGCAATTTTAGCGGTTCTTGAGTTTCATTGTGAATTCTATGTGTTTTGGTGTCTGATTCGTGGTTTCATATGTTATCTTGGTGATTTGATTTTGCGTGCGAGTTCGTATGATGTTTCTAGACTAGCGTGAATGCTTGGTGTGGAGCCCCGGGAGCTCGGGTGAGCTTCAGACGTGTTTCGGACCATTTGGGTGAGTTTCAAATTAGCTGGTTTTATGTTGGTGCTGCAGTTATTGCAACCGCGAGCATCAATTCGCATTTGCGAATACTGCATTTGCAAAGTGACTACCGTATTTTCAAATAAGTGCAGGCTTCAATCACATTTGCGAAGCAAGCATCGCAAATGCGAAAGGGGTCAGGTCGCTTGTGCGACCATATGGATGCTTTTGCGAAATGGGCTGGAAGCTTGAGATTTCGCTTTTACGACATTTTTTAGGTATAGCAGAGGTAGCATTTGTGATCCATTGTTGGTATTTGCGAGCTCCGGGTCATATTTACGACTTCTCCCGCTGAAGAAACAGTGAGATTTCAGGACTTAGTCTCATTTTATCATATTTTTTAGCCCTAGATCCGGTAGGAGACGATTTTAGGAGGAGATTGTTATACAAAGCTATCCGATAAGTGATTTTCACTCTATTTTGATATTATAACATGATTATTTATGAATTTTAACATCTAATCCATGATATTTGAAGAGAAATTTTGGAAATTTTTTACTCTATTTTAAAAAATAAAAATTTGAATTGAGAGTCCAGTTACACTCGGATTCGAAAACCAAACACATATATGGACTCGTGGGGTTATGAGTAGTCGAGATCTACCCTTCGACCTTGTTTTTGACGGCGTACTCGGGGTTGACTTTTGTTGACTTTTGGAGAATTGTGTAAAGATCTTAACTTTATTAATCGAAAGTGATTTCTCTTGCATTGTTTGAAATTATTAAATCTTTTTTACTAGATTTGAGCTGAGCGGGGGTGAATTTTAAGGGGCAAGTATTTTCAGAGTATTGAATTGGCCTAACTGATATAAGTATCTTGTCTAACTTTGTGTGGAAAATTTACTCCTTAGGATTTGGTATAATTTGCATCATTTGTACTATGTGAAACGACATATACATAAAGTGACGAGTGTGTTCACGGGTGTATGTGTGATAATTGACCGAATTGGACTTTAGGCTATTCATATGCCTTGAATTAGAGTTGCTTATTATATGATACATGTTTTATCATTGTTCACTCCCCGCACCCTTATGTTATTATTATGGTTCTTGTACATAATATTATTGAACCGTGGGCTATATCTTGTTGTGACTTTGGTATTGTTATTGTGGTGATGTTGTGGCACATGTGTACATGTTGTGCAGGTGATTGTTATTGTGTGAAGTATAAGGGTACGAGATGCACATGCGGCAACATAAGGGTGGTGCTTATTGATGCACATGCGGCGAGATAAGGGGGTTTATGCGCGTGTTGCAAACAAGGGAAATACTTTGTTGTGATGCGCACACGGCGAGATAAAGGAGCTTATGCGCTCGTAGCTATATGAGGGGAAATATTTCAATGTGAAGCTCACGCGACGTCATAAAAGCGGCTTGTTTATTACGTTATGTGGTGTTTCGGGTTGATTCTTGATGTTATCTTGTGTTGGAACGGGTTGATGATTTGAACATATCCTTGCTTTCCATAAATGATTTCACTTTGTGACTTATGAGTTGTTGGTTAATTTGTTGTGTTATCACATGCCATATTCTTTGTGTGTATTTACTATGTTATGCTTTTCGTTGTCAGTTTCATCTTAATAATCTGCACAGGCTATTTATCTATTGAGTGTCTTGACTTGAACCTTATCACTACTCCATCGAGGTTAGTCTTGATACTTACTGGGTACCGACTATGATGTACTCATCTATGCTTCTGCATATTTTTGTACAGATCCAGGTATCTCAAAGCGTGTTGGTCATAGTGAGTTGATCCCGAGCGGCTGTGAAGACTTCAAGGTATACCTGTTGTTCTGTTTGTAGGCCTCGGAGTCACCTTCTATTGTTTCCTTCCACCTATTTATTGTATCTCAAAAAGTGTTGTATTTTGAGACTTATTATGCATTTTTTGTAGAGCTTATTTATGTCGTGCTATAATTCCATATATTTTGACTTTATTTAATGTTTGGATGATAATTTATGCGACAATTGAGCTTAATAGAGTTTATTTTACGTGGAGGAATGCTTGAACATGAAGTGGAGAAAAGTTACATGAAATGGTACATCCAAGCTACAAAATGGTGCAATAAAAGAAGCATGTCACGACCCAAAACTAACCCTGTCGTGATGGCGCCTATCGTGGTACTAGGCAAGACGACACATTACCCAAAACCAATCAATATTTTTATTTTTTTTATAAAGCCAAAGCTATTTAACAATAAACCTTCATAAAGAGTTTAAATCAAAACAACAGTGCGGAAAGAAAGCCCGACATCGAGGTGTCACTAGTCATGAGCATCTACTAAGAACCGTCCGATAACACTGAGACCAATACAGTCTGGAAACCAACTAATAACATCTATAGGAAGATAGGAGGGAGAAGAGCAGGGCTGCAATCACCGTGCAGCTACCTTGCTAACTCTAACAGATCCGCGACGGTTGAAAACAACACTCACAAGCACGCCCAACAACCCCCTGGATCTGCACACAAGGTGCAGGGAGTAATGTGAGTACGCAAACTCAGTAAGTAATAAAAGTAAATAAAGACTGAGTAGTAGTGACGAGCAATAAAACATATACAGTTCATATCATGAAATCTCAGTAGGATACAGCCGGCTTTTAAAATAAGATTTTGAATCAACTCAGCTCATTTAAATCCAGTTTCAGTAAAACCATTTAGAACATCTTTCAACAGTTTTCAAACATAGTGATGAAACAGTGAGTAAAAATGATGAAAGCATAATCAGCCCCTCGGGTAAAACTCACTCGTATACAGCCCCTCCGGCAAACATGAATCACAAACAGCCCCTCGAGCAAACATCACTGTTACTCATATACAGCCCCTCAGGCATACCTCATAATCACTCTTAAACAGCCCCTCGGGCACAACATGAATCGAGAACAGCCCTTCGGGCAAAACATCATATCACTCACTCAGGGTACCTGTGCTCAATAGGGGTGTGCAGACTCCGGAGGGGCTCCTTCAGCCCAAGCGCTATAAGCCGCACGGACAACTCACGTGTTGCACGGACAAATCACGTGCTATAGTATCAATATCAAAATCTGTACGACAAGTCACGTGCTACACGGACAACTCACGTGCTATACTCCCAATATCCTCACAATTATAGGCCCTCGGCCTCACCCAGTCATAAACCTTTTAAGCCACTCGGGCTATCAGTAAAAATCAGGGTGCTCAGCCTAAAATAATATCTTATATGCATCAAAACGGTGTAATAAAGACTGAGTTATGAAATCAGTAAACATAGCATGACTGAGTATAGATTTTCAATCAAAACAGTGAGAGGATAATAAGAAAAAGGCCCCTAAGGGTCCAAACAGCTTTGGCACGAGGCCCAAATATGGCATTCAGCCCAATCTATAAAAATTCTTTCTAAAACACATAAGTATCATATAGTTTCAGTCAAATACACAACTTAATAGTTGCTACGGGACGGACCAAGTCACAATCCCCAATGGTGCATGCCCACACGCCCGTCACC